TTTAATGTTTGACGGACTATTGTACAGTGGTACCTCGGGTTAAGTACTTAATTCGTTCCGGAGGTCCGTACTTAACCTGAAACTGTTCTTAACCTGAAGCACCATTTTAGCTAATGGGGCCTCCTGCTGCTGCTGCGCCGCCGGAGCATGATTTCTGTTCTCAACCTGAAGCACTATTTCTGGGTTAGCGGAGTCTGTAACCTGAAGCGTATGTATCCTGAGGTACCACTGTATTTTAATATTTTGTTGGAAGCCGCCCAGAGTGGCTGTGGAAACCCAGCCAGATAGGCGGGGTATTGATAATAAATTATTATTATTATTATTATTATTATTATTATTATCATCATCATCATCATCCATCCTGTCGTTTCTTATGAAATACTGCATTTTGATGGATTCCCCCACCCCCTGGCTGCCAAACACCCTATTCGGATTCAGAAAAAGAACAACTTAGCTGGGTTTTCAGTTGCTAATGCAGCCACAGTGACCTCAGGCAATCCTCTGCTCCCTGCCCTTCAATCTGCAAAATGGAAATAATAATACTGACCTACCTTACAGGGCTGTTGTACAGATTGCGGGGATAACATATTTGAAGCACTTTACGCATGCTCAAAGGGCGGCCTGAGAGGCTTATACTTCCCACCCCCTCTTCAACCTTGAGGTCAAATGATGGTGGGGCCAGCGCTTTTTTTTTTTGAATGATACTCACTAACATGGAACACAGTCACCTCTTTTGTTTTTGAAGACCATGGCAGCCATTTTATGCTGGCACCCACAGAAATGACCAAATTCAAAGAAAGGGGGCCAATCTCCCAAATATTCTGAATCCTTTATTACTGCGCTCTGCTTCACCTAGGTCGAGCTAGGATTATAGTACTTCAGAATTTTGGGGAGATTTACCCCTTTCTTTGAATTTAGTCATTTAAAGTTTATGATTTCTCAATTTCCTTCTGAGAAACTGAATAGTTCAGTGAAACGAGGTTTGTAGCCAGCATCCCATTAAGGCTTTGTTCAATTCTAGGTTTTTCTAATTTTTTCCTTAAACTTGTTGATTTTTGTTATTTAGTTTAATTCTATAAGATAATATTTCTAGTCAGTTGCTTCTCGTTTCAGGGATTTTCATGGTATTTCATTTGTTTTGTGTAATTTCTTGGTTCCGTGGCTATCTTTTTTCTACTAGGCTTAGACACCTGGCATTGCTCCGGCAGGTGCAATTACCAGGACTCAGTTTGTGTTTGCTTATGACAGGGCCTAGTGTGCCCTGGCACGCATGTGTGAACACACACACACACACACACACACACACACACACAGAGGGACAACAAGAGAGGCTTGTGCAGTCTGCTGCTATTGTTCAGCCAAAACAGGGGACATGTCAAGGTGGGAATCGGGAGCAGGTGAACGATAAGTCACAAGGTGTCCGTGCAGTTCACTCTTTAGTCAAAGAAACCAAACAGTTCAGACCTAGTGAGTACAGCAACTCTTCCCAGCAGGTCTTGCCACAAGGAGGCAGTTGTGAGGACTGGAGGTCCCTGCCTTCCCACAGCTCCCTAAGTCTCCTCCTCCCCAGAGTTTTTCCGAAGCAATCTGAGACTCCACCTTCTTGTCTGCCTTTGCTCTGCCTTCTTCATACCTCTTTGAGTTCTGAGAGACCAAAGGGAAGGAGAGTTGGTCACAGCAGAAGGGGAGACCCCCTGGCTTCTTGAGCAGCCTGCCTCCACTCTGCCTCTTGACCCCCCCCCCCCAATTCACCAGCCTCTAATTCGGCCTCTGGGTCTGGCCTACTCTCTGCCACAGCCTCTTCCTGCTCACTAAACCCTGTTGCCTCCTCAGCTTCCGACACCAAGAATTGGGATCGGGACCTTCTGCATGCAAAGGAACGGAATGGAGAAATCCGCAGCTACCCTTGGTGAGTTCTGAAACTCTCCACATCCCAGCCAAACTATGGATCAGGCTTTCCCTTAACTGACCCAACAACACAGGGACAATGCAACTCCCATCATCCAGATGCATGGGCAGTAATCAGGGATGATGGGAGTGGTAGTCCAACAACATCTGGGAACCCAAGGTTGAGAAAGGCTAATATAGGTAGACTTTGTGTGCCTGATCCTGAGCAATGGCTAGGGTACAGATGGGGATGTATCAGCTACTACAGAGTGTCTATAGGGAGCTGTCCATGGTCCTGTAACTCCATCCTGACCTTACTTGCTACATAGTTAACTATGCCTCCAATCCTGCCTATGGAGACCCACTCATGGGCAGGTATGTCATCTTGACTGATTCTCTAGATGCTCCTCCTTTGGCACACAACACCTTATGATTCAATGTTTCTTTAAACGTGTTCTCAACATCAAGTTTTTAATAGAATTTCAAAATTTTGTCTTAGTTTGGGAAAATTTTCCAATTCTAAAAAATTACACAAAAATCCCTTCCAACCCTACCTAACATTACTTTGCCCATTCCTTGTTCTTTACATCCTATGTGGCACATTAGGATCATATTATTTTCAAATGGATTCCCAAGACACTTAAATACTGTATTTTTGCTCTATAAGACTCACTTTTTCCCTCATAAAAAGTAAGGGGAAATGTGTGCGCGTCTTATGGAGCGAATGCAGGCTGCGCAGCTATCCCAGAAGCCAGAACAGCAAGAGGGATTGCTGCTTTCACTGCTCAGCGATCCCTCTTGTTGTTCTGGCTTCTGAGATTCAGAATATTTTTTTCCCTTGTTTTCCTCCTCCAAAAACTAGGTGCATCTTGTAGTCTGGAGTGCCTTATAGAGCAAAAAATACGGTACATGCATTTCAACATGGGAGGTGTCATATGTCCCCAGTGGCACAATGGGTCAGTGTGTCTGGCTATAAACCAGAAGGTTGTTGGTTTGAGCCCACCCTGGGCAGGATTCGCACTGTGGGCTGGATCCCTGCATTGCAGGGGGTTGGACTAGATGACCCACAGGGTCCCCTCCAACTTGTGGCAAATGCATATTCACTATGGTAGGGCTGAATTCCCTAATAACCAAGCAAGGGAATCTGAGGCCTTCTGGGTTTCAATTAGAACATGTCTTCCTGGGACCTTGTTGTTATGTGTTTACTCGAAATGCCTCGCAGTGTGCTCCAGCTGGACTCGACTCAAAAGCCCAGTGCCTGGTGGGTCTGGAAAAGGTTTCACTAGGTCAGACAGCTCTGTGTCTTGGACAGCCGTAATGAAGGGCCGTCTCTGGCTGTGCTCCTCCAGACACAGATGTCCTTCATCAACAGACAAGAGTAATTTCAGCCTCTCCTGGCCACCAGCCCCAATACATCTCTGACTCTGTTCCAGACTGTGGAGGTCTGGGAGACAAAGGCTCCGATTTCCCAGCTCAGTTCCTTTAAAGCTAGTTGATCCCAGTGTCATTTCCACAAGCGCTGCCCTTTCTCCCTGCTCCCTACCCCCACCAACCCTCCACTGCCCCCTCGCTGATATGTCTTCCTCCAAATACCTCATTAGATGTGACACATTCAGCATGATGTGGGGAAGAAATGAGAGAGAATCGGTTCAACAAAAGAAAACAAAAAAAGAGGAGGAGGAACCAAGGAAGATTCAGCCACTGGTGGTTGTTGTTGTTATTTAACTACCTGGTCTCAGAGGATGTGTCTTGATGGGAAGCTGTACCACCTCCTCAGAGCGGTGGGTGAATCTTGTAACACCATTCGAGTGTAGCTGACAATGGGGGTCTCCTTCCACAGCTTTCCCCTACTTGGTCCAGCTGCCCACCACCATCTCTGCGATCACACAGACTAGTAAATGGTGTCAGAGTCTAGGCTGACTTTACGCTTGCCCCAGGAGAGCATGGCCTCTCTT